GGCCTCGAGATGCCAAGGAAAATCTGAACTCAGGCAGAGAAGCCCCCTTTCAAGGGGGTGGGCACTAAGCTCTGCCCACCAGGGCTCCTATCCCCACAGGCATGACGCCCGGTGGAGAGAGAAACTTCTCTGTGAAGTCCTGGAAGGCTCACCAGATCCCCCCCCCGCAACATTTCTTTACCCACCCAGCACAGTCTGAACCTGGAAGCCTCAGCTCCCCCCACCGCCTGCCCCTCTGTGGGGGGACTGGGTGGGCTGTGGGCCTTCGGTGCCTCACAGACCTGGGTCACTGGACAGAAGAGGGGGCTGGGCAGCAGGAGGAAGAACATGCAGCCGCCCAGAAGGAGGCCCCCCCTTCCCAGCCTGTGGGGGACTCCCGGGACAGACGCTGGTCCCTGGTGGGGATGACTGTGCCTTCTGGCCCCACAGGACCCCCAGCCTTGAGCCGTGGCTGGGCTGCCTGTCCCTGGGAGCCAGGCTGCCTTCCCAGGGGAGGACTGCTGGACCACCCACAGGGGCAGGGTCACAGCACATAGTACACCTGCTGTGCTCACAGCACTAGGGGGGCACAGAACAGAACAGCCTGCTGGGGTGGCCCTGGGGGGTGAGGGGCCTCCACGAGGGAGGGCTCTGAGTCGGGGGTGGGGGGCAAGCTCCGGAAGGGAGGGAGGGCTGCATGGGGGAGGGCTCTTCGAGGGAGGTGGGTTCTGTGGGGGTGGCTCTGCAAGGGAGCTCCATGGGGGGAGGGCTCTGCGGGGCAGGGGGTTTCCGCAGTGAGGGGGCTTCACGAGGGGGTTCACCAGGGTTGTGCGTGTATCAGTAGTGTTCCCTGGCGTGGGTGGACCACTCACTCACCGGCTGTGGGGCATCTGGCTTGTCTCCATTTTGGGGCTGTGATGAATAGGCACGCTGTAGACATTTATATTCATGTTTTTCTGTGAAGATAACTTCATTTCTCTAGGATAAATACTCAGGATTAGGAAGGCTGGGTCATATGCTAGGTTTATGGTTGACTTAAGTAACTGTCCCGGTGTTGTCCAGAGTGGCTGCACGATTTTGCATTCAGACCATTTACAACCTATGAGAGTTCTGGTTCAGCACCCTCTCCCTGATGACCAACCATTCCGCTTTGTCTGGGGCCAAGGGGTTTCCAGGGATGCAGGACTTTCAGTGTTAAACTGGGAAACTGGGAAAATTAGGGCACTTGCTACTGTCAGTACTTTTTATTTTAGACATTCTTTTTTACTTTATTTTTGTTTAAAGATTTTATTTATATATGTATGTATGTATGTATGTATTTAAGAGAGAGAGTACTCAAGTGTGCGTGGGCGGGGGAGCAGCAGAGGGGAGAGGAGGGGGAAAGAATCTTAAGCCAACTCTGTGCTGAGTGTGGAGCCCAAGGGGGGCTCCATCTCACCATCCCCCCAGATTACGACCTGAGCCAAAACCAAGAGTCGGACGCTCAATTGACTGAGCAGCCACCCATGTGCCCCTTTATTTTATTTTTGTCTTTTTTGTTTAAAAAGAATTTTTTTAAAGTAGGTTCAACGCATAGAGCCCAATGTGGGGCTTGAACTCATGACCCTGAGATCAAGACCTGAGATGAGAGCAAGAGTCAGACGCTAAACCAACTGAGCCAACCAGGTGCCCCCCAATTTTTTAAATTTTAATTTATTTTCATTTTAGCCATTCTAACATGCCTGTAGCGAGTACCTCACTAGGGTTTTAATTTGCCTTTCCCTGATAGTTAATGATGGTTAAGCACCTGTTCACGTGCTATTTGCCATTCATATATCCTCTTCAGTGAAGTGGCTGTTCAAGTCTGGCCTCATTTTTTTTTTTTTTAACTGGGTTGTTTTCTAACTGTTGAGTTTAGAAAGCTCTTTATATATTCACTATATCTATATAAATATAGTTGGAAGTGTGATTTACAGTTTTTTTCTCCCAGTCTTGTAGCATGTCTTTTCATTGTCTTAGCAACGTCTTTCTGAAAGCAAAATTTAGAAACTTGTTGAGGTCCACTTTATCACTGCTTTTCTTTATTTGTGTTAAGATACACATTACAGGGGTGCCTCGGTGGCTCAGCCAGGTAAGCATCTGCCTTTGGCTCAGGTCATGACCCTTCTCTCTCCCTCTGCCCCTCCCCTGCTTGTGCTCTCTCTCTCTCAAGTACATAAATAAAATCTTAAAAAAATACACATAACATAAAATATGCAATACACAGTTCAGTGGCATTAGGTTAATTCACGATGTTGTGTGACCATCACTATTATCTATTTCTACGATTTTTTTATCACCCCAAACAGAAACTCTGTCCCTGTTAAGTAATACATCCCCCTCCCCAGCCCCCGGAAACCTCTCTTCTTTCTGTGTTTTGAATTGGCCTATTCTTGATGCCTCATATGTGTGCAACCATATAGTATTTGCCTCTTTGTGAATGGCTTATGGCCCCTGGCATAATTTTTTAAAAAGATTTATTTATTCTCTTGAGAGAGAGAGAGCGTGTGTGTGCAAGCATGAGTGGGGGGAGGGGCAGAAGGAGAGAATCCATGACCCATGAGATCATGACCTGAGCTGAAACCAACAGTCAGATGCTTAACCAACTGAGCCACCCAGAGCCCCTGGAATAATGTGGTTTTTTTTTTTAACTTTTAAAAAAGATTTTATTAATTATTTATTTGACAGAGAGATAGAGCCAGAGAGCACAAGCGGGGAGGGGGAGCTTGGGGGAAGGGAAGGGGGAGAGGGGAATGGCAGAGGGAGGCTCAATCCCAGGACCCCGGGATCATGACCTGAGCCCAAGGCAGATGCTTCACTGACTGAGCCACCCAGGCACCCCTAAACTTTTTTTTTAAAGATTTATTTATTTGAGAGAGAGAGCGAGCATGAGCGGGGGGAGGGAGGCAGAGGGTGAGAATCTCAAGCAGACTCCCTGCTCAGCAGGGCTCTATCCCATGACCTATGAGATCATGACCTGAGCTGAAACCAAGAGTCTAATGCTTAACCACTTAACTGACTGAGCCACCCAGGCACCCCTGGCATAATGTTTTTAAGGCTCATGTTGTAACATGTGTCAGAACTTAATTCCTTTTCTCTCATTGTGTTTTGTTTACTTTAAATTGTGATATAATAGGGTGCCTCAGTGGCTCAGTCGTTAAGCGTCTGCCTTTGGCTTGGGTCATGATCCCAGGGTCCTGGGATCGAGTCCCACATCGGGCTCCCTGCTCAGCAGGGAGTCTGCTTCTCCCTCTACCTCTCCCCCCTGCTCGTGATCTCTGTCTCAGATATATAAATAAAATCTTTAAAAAAAAAAACAAAAAAAAAATAGTGATATAATACACATAACAGAAAATTTACCATCTTAACAGTTTTTTTTTATTTTTTTAAGATTTTATTTATTTGCAGAGAGAGAGTGTGCACAGGCAGAGCAGACAGAGGGGGAAGCAGGCTCCCTGATAAGCAAGGACCCTGGGATCATGACGGGAGCAGAAGACAGACACTTAACTGACTGAGCCACCCAGGCATCCCTCATCTTAACAGTTCTAAGTACATTTGCATATTGTTGTGCAACCAATCTCCAGAACTCTTTTTATCTTGCAAAACAGAAACTGTGGCCATTAAACATTAACTCCCCATTTCCCCTACCCCAGACCCTGGTGCCCACCAAATACTTTATCTCTATAAATTTGGCTCCTTTAGGGACTTCGTATATGTACAACCACACAATATTTGCCCTTCTGCATCTGGCTTGTTTCACTTGGCATAATGTCCTCCGGGTTCCTCCGTGTGGTAGCAGGTGTCAGAATGTCTTTCCTTTTTCAGGCTGAATAATATTCCAGGGCTTGTATACTCCACACTTTGTTTCTCCATCAGTCTCTCCAGAGGTACTTGGGTTGGCCAACTGGGCAGGGCCTACAAAACAGGGCATCAGCCAAATGCCCTCCACGGTGGTAGGGGAGGAGGGAGCGGGAGGGAGGGGAGGAGGGAGAGCGAGGGGAGGGAGGGGAGGAGGGAGAGCGAGGGGAGGGAGGG